TGGAAGGTGCACTCCACTCGCGGCCGGCCAGCTCTGCCCTCTGCAGACCTGTCCCCTTTGAACCTCCCTCAGCATTCCTCACACAGAGAGCCAGGCTGCTGCCGCCTCGGGCCATGGTCCTCGCTGCCGCCGCCTCTGCCAGGCTGGTTCCAGAGCACGCCTAAGGTCTTAAATAGCATTGCCGGTAAATATCCAAAGAGCCATGACTGTTACTCTGCACGACGCTGCTTCCTGGCTCTTTTCATTTGAGAGTTCAGCATTCTATCCATGTACTGCCTGGCTCGCTGTTGATGCGGAAGGGGGCGGGTGTCTGGCTCACTCCCGGCCATATCTGAAGGGCTGCACCAGCAGCTGGTATATATGGCTGATGTTGACATCTGCTAAGCAGGTGGACCTCAGGGTTTGGAAAATAACTATCTGGGGGAATGAAGAGACCAGCGAGGGAGAACCCCCAGGGTCCGAATTTGGGTACCCCACAAGTTGGTTTCATGGAACCTAATACCCACTGTGACAGCTCTAAGAGATGGGACTTTCAGGAGGGGGTTAGTTATAGTGCTTTGCCTGACTGAGTGGCTCCAATGAGCCTGTTTGCCTCTCCTGCCATGTGACTACACCACAGGCTGGTGCCGTTTCCGAAGCAGACAACAGTTATCAGATATCAGATCATCACATCAGCTGGCGGCTTGGTCTTGGAATTCTCAGCCTTCCGAAGTCAGAACAGCAAGGTCCTCACTCATCAACCACCGGCTATTATACAGACTGCATGCAGAAACCATGGTGGTGGTGGTGGTGTGTGAATGTGGGTGTGGTATATGCTCTGTGTGTGTGTGTGTGTGTGTGTGTGTGTGTGTGTGTGCGCGCGCGCGTGTGTGCCCGCCCATGTGGAGGCCAGACAAGGACGTCCAGTGTCGTCCTCTACGTCGCCATGCTTCTCCCTTGAGACAAAGCTTATTAGCGCACTAGAAGCTTGCTGTTTCAGCTAGACTGCCTGGCCACAGAGCTCCTGGGATCTGCCCACCTGGGGATACAGGCACAAGCACATATGCCCAGCTTTGTATGTGGGTGCTGGGCACTCATGCTGACCCGCTGAACCATCACCCCATCCCCAGGAAACAATGATCCGAGCATTACCCAGAACCACCATTGTTAAGGACCCTCTTTCTTCTGGGAAAAAAGGTACAATCACAGTAATCATGGCTGAACAATGAACAGACTTAATTAAATAAGTGCTGGCTCTCTGAATGCTTATTGGCTGAGGCCTGTATGCTTTTTGCTGTGTACAAATCCTATTTTTCTCTTGAACGTCCTACACAGAGCAGAGCACCGAGGAGGTCTCTAGACTATTCTTGGGAACAGAAGCCTATTTTCCCCTCCCTCCTGCCCAGTCTCACACTTAAAGGGCACTTGTGTGGCGGTTACTATTGGCGCCTACCAGAAGCTCTCAACACTCCCGCACATGCGGATCCTTTAAACAGTGTAAAAGATTGATCAGCCTTTCAAGACCCCCAAGCCCAGCCCATACCCCAGACCAATTTCATCAGAACCTGGGCGGGGGAAGACAGACACCATCGACCCCAGTGATTACCCAAGTCACAGAATCCTATGCTGACTTTAAAGGCAAACACCAGCGGGAGTGGCGGAGCCACTGAAAGCTACTTTCCCAATTTTTTGCTCAACTCATTAAATGCCTTTGTTACGTCTTCAGTGTTCTTCTAGCTCTTATTAAAATGCACTACAAAGGTCACTTTGTCTCAGGGTATTAAAAACCGAAAAGAAAAGAAAGCATATGCATTTACTGACTAAATTCTAAAACCTGGAAAACCGACCCCCCCTCCCCCGCCACTACCTAGAAGTGGCCAGCTCTACTGTTAGAACCTCCAGCAACAAACAGAAACACTGAACGTCTTGTAAGAAAGAAAAGAAAAGCCAATACTATGCAGCTGAGTATGTAGACAATGAACAAATAAACAAAGAAATAATACAGCTGGAAAATGGCAGTTTAAAAATCATTTTTGACAAGCCTGGTGTTGGTGGCACACGCCTTTAATCCTAGCACTTGGGAGGCAGAGGCAGGTGGATCTCTGTGAGTTAGAGACCAGCCTGGTCTACCGAGCGAGTTCCAGGACAGCCTCCAAAACAATACAGAGAAACCCTGCCTCGGAAAAAAAAAAAAGAAAGAAAGAAAGAAAAAAAATCACTTTGACAGCCAGAACTACACAGAGAAACCCTGTCTTGGTTAAAAAAAAAAATCACTTTGAGTATGACTGAAAAGAGTTCAGCCTAAGATTACTTCTAGACAAGGAAAAACACAACCTAATTCTGTCCCCACTTTTAGTCAAGTGCACTTGCCCATGTATATGAACCTACCTCCATCCAGGACAGACTGTTTTGTTTTGTTTTGGAGACAGGGTCTCACTATGATGTAGACCACAATAGCCTTGAACTCATTAAGATCCTCCTGCTTCTGCCTCCCAAGTATTCACCACCATGCCCAGCTTAGAAACAGACTGTTTTGTTTTGTTTTGTTTTTGAGACAGGGTTTCTCTGTGTAGCTTTATAGACCAGGCTGGCCTCGAACTCACAGAGATTCACCTGCCCCTGCCTCCCGAGAGCTGGGATTAAAGGTGTGTGCCACCACCACCTGGAAGAAAGACTTTTTAAATTTTTTTCTATGTTTAAATATTTTGCCTGCATGTGTGACATATGCAATGTACGCATGTGAACCACACCCATGCCTGGTGCCTGGGGAGGCCAGAAGAGAGCAATGAGCCCCCTGGCACCAGAGTTACAGGCAGCTGTGAGCAGCATCAGTTGCTGGGAACCAAACCTGGGTCCTCTGCAAGGGAAGCCGGTGGTCCTCATCGCTGGGAAAGCTCTCCAGCCCCGAGAGACAGACTCAACCCTCTCCAGCTCACATAAACAATCCGTTGGTGCCAACAAGTAAGTTACATTTATCACACAGTTATATCAAGGAGCACTGACCTAGGAAAATGAAGGTTATTATATCATCAGTGCTTTTAAAAATCCATATTCTTGGAGAAGGCGAGGTGACTCAATAGGGAGAGGGCTTGCTGCCAAACCTATAACCCCGTTCAACCTCTAGAACCCACATGGTGAAGGAAAGAAACAATTCTAAAACACACACCTGAAAATGCCTCAGCAAGTTACCTTTTTAAAAGAATTACAAGTGAAATACTCGACTAGAAAGAGTCAGGTAAAAGAATACATTACAGGGTGACTTTGAACAAGGCTGCTATCAGCAATTAACATCAAGTATCACGAAAAGGGTTTCTCTCTACCTTTAACTCAATGAAAGCCAAACCAATTTGCCTAGCGTGCCTTAGTGATGCTTGGTACAATCACAAAACCCAGAGGCTGCATTGTCAGGTAGTGCCCAGAGGACAAACGCCTGTCTCAACTTGATGCCTGAGGGTCTCCAACTTCACAAGCAAGCGTGTCACGCCAGTAAGCTGGCCTTTACATAAACTAGAACAACTTCGCAAAACAAATTCGCAAAACTAGCTGTGGTGGCACTGCCTCTAATCCCAGCACTGGGGAGACAGAGGCAGGAGGATGAGAAGTTAAACGTCAGCCTCGGCTACACAGCAAGTTAGAGGCTAGCCTGGGCTATTTGAGACTGTCTCAAGAATGAAACAAAACAAAACAACAATAAGAGCATTTTCTCCCTTCCAGCATATGTCAAGTTCCAAGCTGGCCAATGACAGTCACATGGTATATTAATATTATTATCTGTGCCTTGGCCACCAATGAAATGTTTTCACCCTTTATTTTTATCACAATGGTTGAGAAGCTTCAGAAATCAAATGGCTGAAATGTACTAATTTGGTTATCGTATGAAACAAAGTTCATTTGTGGGGAGGAACAATTCTGATTTGGACAGAGAAATGATAAATTATAGAATATCTTCAAAAATAAACGTAAGTTATAAAAATAAATACTCATTAAACCCTGATCTTATGATTCATTTCCTAATTACATGAATAATTTATATAACTGAGGAGCTACATTATGAATGTATTTTATAAGGTTTGTTATGGTGTCTACAAACTTGCTTTTGATGTTTGGCTTTGGGGCTGGAGAGGCGGCTCGTCCAGAGAACCCAGGACACACATGGTGACTCACAACTGTACAAAACTCCAACTCCAGGGGACCCAACACCCCTTTCCAGCCTCCTCCAGTACCAGGCACACATATGGTGGTACTCAGACAGAGACATAACCCCCATACCCAAAAAATAACATTTTTAAAGTTTAAAAAGAAAGCCTTACATTCCTGCCGTTTCCCCTTGTCATCTGTCGTGGGAAGCAGCAAGCGAATGCCATGCAGAGGCCAGAGGACAGCTTGTAGGAGTCAGTTCTCTCTCCTACCTTGTGGGTGGCCGGGGAAAAGCCATCTCACTGACCCAACAATTGGCCTTCTTAAAAATCAGAAAGCTAGGCCAGGCTGATGACTCACGTCTGTAATCCCAGCACTAGAAAAGCTACGGTTAGGGCGAGGGCAGCCTTTGCTACAAACAATGGGTTCTGGCCCCCCATCAGGTCTATAATGTGAAGACCCTAGATCAAATAAGCAAAGCCGAAGGCCCTCACCTGCCCCGAATACGGCTCTGAGTTAAGAAAGCCCTAACTTTCTTAACTGGGTTTTACTGTGTACAAAAACATACGGTGGAAACCACCTAAGGGCAATTCACTCCCAACAGCCTCCAAATGAAGTCCGTCTGCCAGGATGTGGAGAACTGAGTTCCTCCCCAATTTGTGCTGCCTGGAGAAGGTCAGCTCCATGTCAGTATAATCTGATATTAAAAAAAAAAAAAAGACACCTTTTGGCTAGCTGACAGGAGATCAGAGAACAAGTCAAGGCTCCCAAATGCGTCATCTTACGCAGTGAGGACCTTAGCCTTACGGAACATGGACTCCTAGTCTCTAGGACCCCGGGCTAAACCGAACCGGGAGTGTGCGGCTGCAGGGCGAGCCACTTACGAGACGTAGGCTGGGTATCCGAAGCCTATCAGGTTGCAGAGGAGAGAGGCTCCATAGCCGAACACCAGATACAAGGCCACCAGTCCGATGACACCTGGAGAGCGCAGGAGAAAAGCGGGTTGGGTGGCCCGGCGACGTTCTACCAGGCAGTCCCCGCCCACACCCACCCTTGGAGGCTAGGCCTCTCCGGGCGGGCGAGCCTTCTCCTCCGGCCTCGATTACCGGAGAGAACCCGACCACAGGGAGGGAGGGAACCCGACCACAGCGAGGCCCGGCCTGCCCGTCGCCGTTTGCGCTGGGGACACCGGGGAGGCCTCTGCCTCTCCTCCCTGGGCAGCTGGCGCTCTCCTGGGCTGGGCATCCTGGGCAGTCCCCGGCCTCAGCACCGCCAGGAGGGCCCGCGGGGACCGGGCATACCTGGGCAGTCCCCGGCCTCAGCACGCCAGGAGGCAGTCCCAGGCCTCTCCTCCTTCCCAGCGGCCGGGACGCCCCGCTCGGCCAGACCAGGCCACCGCGCGCGGGGTCCGGGAGGTGAGGACCCGCTCCTCCACCCCGCGGGACACCGGTCGGCAGAGGCGACACGTCAGCGCCCGCGCGTCCCGCAGCCCGGGGCGCCCAGGGCCCCCGCTCGCCCTCGGCCCGCTCGCCCTCCGGGCCCCGCGCGCCGCGCCCGGGGCCCCGCTGCCCACCGAGCGCGATGAAGCTCCGGTTCACTCCGGTCTTGGCCTCGAGCTTGGCCAGGAGGTCGGTCATGCAGTTCTTCTCGTGCAGGAAGCGGTCGAACCTCTCCCTCATGGCTGCGGACATGGTCGGGCCGTGCGCCGCCCGGGATGCTCCGAGCAGGCTGGACGCGGAACCCAGCTGACCCGGGCGGGGCGGGACGGGGCGGGGCGGGGCGGGGCGGCACCGCGGCGCGTGCACCAGGCTCCCGGGAGCGCGCCCCGCGCTCGCCCCCGCCCTCCTGGCGCGCGCCCCGCCCCGCCCCCGCCCTGCTCTCTCCGCAGCTGCCACACCCGACCCGGGCCTCCGCCTGGGCTGCGAGGTGCTTCCCCACCCCTGTAAACAGCGGGAGGCTCCTGGTGCCCGCCTGACTTTTTAAAAAATCCAACCGGTGCAAGAAAGACAGGCAGGGTGGGTGACCCCCGGCGTGATGGATGCGCTTCTGCGTTAAACCTATGAGGCCGTTTTTAAGCTCAAAGTGGACGTGGGCGGCGGTCCTGCATGAAGTCTGCCTGCAGACCCGCTCGCCTCCCGTGTGTGCCAGCTTGGTTTTGGAAACTCGCAGGCCCTCCTCTGGGGCAGCTAAGCCTCCCGGTGGGCTAGTGCTTTGTTGCCTGAGGTCCAAGGGAAGGGAAATGTTTCCTGGACCCGATCTTCGGTTCCCTGACAGCACAGTTGTCCTGGAGGAGAGGTGGGCCCCGCACTGTGAGCCTAAAGGCCTCTCTCCGGTTGCCCCAGCGTGGGGTGGCTCCCAAGCTCTTCCTCCACCTAGCCGGGCTCCGGTGAGTGGTCTTTCACACATATTCCTTCAGAACACTCCTGAAGCCGCTCTTTCTCCCACTCCTGCCAAGTTTTCCTCATTGCGTAAGACGCAAAGGCCTCCAGCGGCTACGGAGAATCCCATTTCTCAGTAGAATCCCATTTCTCAGTAGAGGACGTGCGAGGTCCCGTGCACAAACTGGCCCCCAAACGTTTTTCTTTCCTTGTCCGGCACCTCCACAGACAGATGTGTTCCCATTGTTGTCTTCCATGGGGTACATAGATGGGTTGCTCGCTCCGTTTTCCCTATCTGCAAGTTCCTCCTCCAGTTTTACCCTGAGGGTCTTAAATCAACTCTCTCAGCTGCCCCCATCAATATCCAGTTAATCATTGATGAAACTGAACCATAATGTTAATAGTATTATTATGATGGCATCCACACCCAGCTGTCGTTAGCCTACCATTAATTCTCAATGTTGCAGTCAGAGGAGAAAATGCGGGTCAAGCCAGACATGGCTTTGCATAACTGCAAATCCCAGCTCTTCGAAAAGATGAGGCCAGAGGATCAAGAGTTCAAAGATAACCTCGGCTACGTAGGGAGCTTGGGGCCAGCCTGAGCTACTCAAAAACCCTTTTGAAAAGCAAACAGGCAGCACTAGAGAAACGGCCTAGTCGTTAGGAACTGCTCTGACAGGAGATGAAGTTTACTTCCTAGCACCCAGTTTATATCTCTTGTTCCAAGGGATCCAGGCCTTCCGGACTCCGGACCCCGCGCTCAAGTGTACACACAGATGCAAATAATTAAAAATAAATCTAAAAAACAAAGGAATCTCATAGTTTCCAGAATAAGAATTTGAAAACAACAAAAGTGAGTCACCTTGTGCTGTGTCTGTCCTTATCTCCCCTTCCCCCCACCCCAGTGACTTTTTGTTTTCTGAAGAATGCCTCATACTAGGCAGCTGGCTCATAAGTAAAGTGCTTGCTAGGCAAGCATGAAGTAAAAAGCCATGTGCGGTAGCATCTGCATCCCACCACTGGTGAGGTAACTTGCTGGAGCTTGCTGGCTAGCCAGCCTAACTGCATTGGTTAGCTCCAGGGTCAGTGAGAGACAAAATAAGACAGAAAAGGGCAGAGGAAGACAGGGGATATCAAGAGTAGACGCGCCCGCGTGCTCCCACGCGCGCGCGGACGGACACACACACACACACACACACACATACACACACGCACGCACGCACACACAGATGCTGACCCCTGTCCTCCACATGCCCTTATACACACATGCCTGCTGTGTGCACTGCAGGGGTTTGAACAAGAATCCCCGTAGGCTCGTGTATGCGAACACCTGGTGCCTATTTTGGGCTACAGTTTTTGCTTTAGATAACTACAGTCAGACTGGAGAAGCATGAGGCCCTTAGTTCACGAGTCACAAACCTTTTGTACATAGGGAAAGACATGACGCGTAAGAGCCCTGTCTTAGGTCTTAAACTCGTCACGCACTCCTATCCATCCACCGTGCTATGCTCTGGTGCCAGACAGGCTTAGGCCTGGGAACTGACCGGCCACATTGCTGTCTAGAAGGTCAGGGGGAAGGCTCGGCCTGGGCGAGGAGCGGGTAGGGTAGGCTTTGGTGGGTTCTAGGAAGGGAGTCAACTTGACCCCCGGGGGTGACTCAAGAGCTGCCTTCCGTGGAGTGGAGTGGAGAGGTTTCCCCCGGGGAACCGTGCTAGGGTTGTATTTTGCGGGGTTAGAGGATCTGAAGTCATTTTGCTCTGTGTCGGGAGGAGGAGGTGGGGCATAATTTTCCGGGTCACCTTTGCTCAGAACCCAACCATGTACAGGTCCTTACTGTCACCCGACGGACGTCCACGAGACGGCCAGCTTTTGCAGGAGACCCTCAGTGCTCCTCCGTCTCTGCCGGGGGGGTGGGGAATTACGATTGGCACACACCGAAAGGAAATGGGGGGGGGGAGCGACCAAAGCAACGCCTAAGGAGCGCGCCACGCTGCACTGGCTGGAGGAGCATGGACCGGCTGAATGCGACGCAAGAAACAGTGTCATCCCCGTGGGTCACAAGCACACGCAAAAGGACACGGCAGTGAGGGGAGGGACCCGGGATACACAGGGGTTTGGTGGGGGAGGAGATACGAGATGACAATGTGGGGGGAGACTTTGGTCAAAAATTATTTTTTTCTCATGTGCATGAAATTGTTAAAAGGATAAATAAGGCCGGGCGTTGGTGGCGCACGCCTTTAATCCCAGCACTCGGGAGGCAGAGGCAGGTGGATCTCTGTGAGTTCGAGGCCAGCCTGGTCTACAGAGCGAGTTCCGGGACAGCCTCCAAAACAATACAGAGAAACACTGTCTCAGAAAAACAAAAAAAAAAAAAAAATAACAACAAAAAAAACCCAGGATAAATAAAAACCTAAAAACAGAACTTAAAGAAACGAAATGCAGCCGGGCGCGGTGGGTGACACGCCTGCAGACCCAGCTTTTGGAAGGTGGAGGCAGGAGGATCAGAAGTTTGAGGTCATTCCTCGTGGCTACATGAGTTTGAGGCTAGCCCGGGCTGCATGAGGCTCTCTCAGAAAAACACGAGACAGGGCTGTAGCCAGATGGCTCAGGTGGTGGAGAGGAGGCCCGACAACAAGAATTGGATCTCTGGAACCCTCCCTCACAAGAGAGCGCCAAGTCCACAAAGTCACCCTTTGACGTCCATGCAGGTGTACAAGCCTGTGTGCCCCCTCAGTCATACGCATACAATAATAATAAGTATAAAGAAAAACTTAAAAGTAAAAATTACCATGCTTCGTTGAATAACATTTGAATAAAACGGTTTTTTTTTATCTTACGCATTTTCTATTGAAAATACAGGCAAAGCTTTTTATTATCCTTTTCCCTTTATCAAACAGGAAGTTAAGTCTTAGAAAGTCGAGAGCGAACCAGCATGAGGCTCTCCCCTGGCTCGGCTACAGTACTTTTACTCTGAATGAGCTGCCGTACGTCACGGCTATTGCTTGCGAATCTGTAGGTTTTTCTCCACCGGGCATGAAGGTGTCCTTTATCATCCCTTGGCTTCTTAGTCACACCTGCACAGGGACGTCCAGCAAAAACAAGTCATCGGCAGGTGCTCGCTCGCTCTGTGGTCACGACTAGTCAGTCTGGTTTTGACAAACCCCCGCATTCAGGTTTCATTCTTGACTGCAACTCTTCACCGGCCCTGGGCTGTGGGCCCCACCCCAGAGAGCAGTCTGGATTTGCCTAATAGTGTACGAGGTGGCGTGCAGACCTGACTGCCTCCCTCCGTGTCCCCAGGGAGTGTGGTGTATGTCACTGTGTACACGTGCGTGGTGCGGCGCCTGTGCCGAGGCCAGAGACTTGGTCCCTGTCACTCACCTCTTAGTCCTCTAGGGCAGAGAGTCTCACACTTACCCTGGAATGAGGTCAGCAAGCCTGGGCTATTTCCCCCACCTCTGCCTCCTGCAGCACTAGGGTTACAGGCACGCGAGGGGCAAGCCCAGCTTTTTTTTATTGGTACTGAGAATTTGAATGGAGGGTCCCATCACTGCACAGCAAGTGTCCTTAACCCACCTCTCAGCCACTCGGATCCCCTTCTCACTGAAGGGGATCCAGAAGTTAATTTTTTTGTGTGTACACATTCCTTCAAGCCTGAGTTCCAAGGAAATTTAGTTAGCATGAACCAGGAAACCACTGATCTCCATTTTCATTTTCAATTTCTATTGCGGCTGCACCAAACCGTCATAGACGGGGTGACTTTAATACAGCAGAAATGCATTTTTACCTCCGAGCTTGTGTCGGAAGTCTGATCCGAGAGTTACGGGGCTAAAATCAAGGCCTCGTTTTTCAGGACTCGGTTCCCTCCTGGAGACTCAGGGGAAACCTGTTTCTTTGTTCCTTTGGGTGGTTGGCAGAATTCAGTTCCTGGGGTTCTAAGACTGAAATGCCCACTTCCTTCCCCTTTTCCGAGCCTAGCAGTGGCGAGATGAATTCCTCTCACACTTCAAGTCTGTCTTCCCCTTCCTTCTGGCTCATCTATTTTCTACTTAACACTCTTTTAAAAGATTTATTTATTTATTATGAACACAACATCTTGCCTCCATGTATGTCTGCACACCAGAAGAGGGCACCAGATCTCATCACAGGTGGTTGTGAGCCACCATGTGGTTGCTGGGAATTGAACTCAGGACCTTTGGAAGGGCAGTCAGTGCTCTTAACCTCTGAGCCATCTCTCCAGCTCCTACTTAACACTTTTTTAAGAGATATATTTTTATTTTATATGTAAGAGTGTGTTGTCTGCATGTGTGCACATGAACTGTGCCTGAGTGCCAGCAGGAGACCAGAAGAGGGCACCGGACCCCCTGGGTTAACAA